ACGTACACGAAAAAGGAACACAACAAATACCCTCACGCCTGCGCTTCTACTATTGCCCTTCGTTTTCCTGAGTGTTTACGATTTGCATTGATTTAGAAGATACAAATATTCAAGAGATGTTGTACCAGGATATCAATTATTAATTAGCCCTCATTTGTAGATAAAATCGTGAGACGAAAGAAAATCAGATTGAGTCAGACTTTAAATTTAAAACGGCAGCTTCCAGCTATCGATCAGTGATCTGGGCCAACATCAAACATTAATCTCAAAACCGTACACTACATCAAAAATACCTCGCATTCGGCTCCACATGAAGATTTGTTCTTTAATTTTCATTTTCAGAGGAACTGAGAACAAGTTGGATCATGAATTCATTATAGCTTTCTCTTTAGAATGCCTTCAGAATTTCAGATGTCCCTCGAGTTCACTCAATCGAGTGAAAAAACTTCGCATTGGAAAATAACCGCTGCTTGTTTTTCTGAAAACGATTTTCTAGAAAAAATGTGAGTTTCTATGCAGACATCAACAGTCATCACAAGAACCAAAAGCATCAAATATTAGGAAACGCAATCACATTCAGAAAAACGGTTCAAGTTCAGATTCCTGGGAAGTATATTCCCAGCACAGTCAGCTTNTAAAATGTACGGTACTCGATAAATTTAGTACGACTTCTTCGTACTAAACTTACATTTAAAACTGTCATTTAAATATAATCTGATACGGCGAAGGGCAATGGTAGAAGGAAAGTGTGACGAGTACATATAAGGCATCTCTCAGAATTACATACACGGAGTACATGAATAGTTCCCAATGTCGACATCTAGCCCACAATTCGTAGCCATAATAAGGCTTTCGCAACATCAGATGCCATTCGTATAAACTAATATTTTCGCCGTACACAAAATAGCAAATTGTCATTCACCAACTCAGTCTTCGTTTATCACACAACGTTTCAGCTTGCACACCCATAAGAGGAACCTTTCTCCGAAAAGTTTGAAACGATTCCGCACGGCGGACATTAGGGCTAAAAAAAAATCGTTACGGTGTTCGAGAGCCGAACAAGTATTCACATACTGGAATATATGGTCAAGGCATAACATCGAGTACGCGAAAAATTCTCCGAACGCACAAGACTCGAAGGACCGTTGGAAATAGACTAGAGATCATCATCGACATTTTTTTGAAATTAAGAAATGCCATAAAACGAGATAACTTTTCCCTCACATCAGTAACCCTTTACATGGACCTTTTCTAAACAGAAAAAAAACAATGCCTCTCAGGCAAGCAAAAACTGTTTCCGTATCACAACCAGCATCCAATTCTTAATAAAAATTGCACAAAAGTCACTAATTGCAACCGTAAACCTGTCACGCATAAATCCGTTTCGACATTTGATTCCATTCGATAAAGAACGATCATTAATGACCTTTCACATTTTGTACGAAAATTACTCGCACCCCACGACCGAGCAGTGCGGATATACACTCAACTTTACCAAATTTCATCATAGTACACAGCGATTCAGAAGTACAAAATAGAATAAAGCAGGAAAGGCGAGAAGGAACAACACGAACAGGCAAACACAGCTATTAAAATTTCCGATAAATTCATATTCGATGAAAACTTTCGCGAAAGGTGTACGAACTCTCGTTCCATTCTCATTGGGACTTCATATTGCTTAGAGAAAAACACGGGAGTTCAAGAACACGCGCTCAAACTCTCATTCTGATTTTGCATTTGAATCAATGCTCTCACTTTCTCGATAAAATGATAAAAGTGTACTCAATTGGTAAAACCAGGGCTCTTCGACCAAAGAAAAAGGAAGTTCATAGAGCGTTCTATTGAAGACTAAATTAGCTGTTCGTACTATTGCCAGCCACCAATTTTGATTTCAGAAGAGCCCGTCCCGTCAAACCATTTAAAAACCATCCAAACCCGTTCGAAAAATTTCGTTTCCCGTTTGTACTCCCGTTCCCGGATTGCAGACGGCGTCGCACTTCGTGGGCGCATGGAATTGCACCTCGGAAGCCAGCAACATAGGCAACTCGTCCTTTCCATTTTCCCCACTATGCCCAGCCAGCTCCGTAAACAACTGCTCGGCATCCTTCAGAATATCCAATTGAGAAGGCACCGCGACTGGGGCATCTCCAGCAGTCATGAACACAGGAGGCACGTGCACAGTGTCAGAGGACAACAAAATAACCTTGTGACAGGGTGTCGAAGAGGACGCGTCGCTAAAACGGCGAACACTGCCCAGGGCCACGGGCTGCTCCGAGATCATGCCGCACATTTGCTCATCAAGGTCGTTATTCTCTGTCAAAGTCAGTTGCGGCGAGATGTACTCGATGTGGCACAGCGGGGCAGAGGATTGGCAACCCGAGCTCAGCTCCACGATTGATTCAGAAGGTACGGCAGTCGGCTGAACCAGAGAAACCACCTCCATGAGTTCACCTTCTGGTCTTTGGCCCGCTGGGAACTGCGTGAATGAGCATTCTTGCAGCTGCATCGAAATGGCATTCCCTGAAACGGAGAAAAGGACTTTCATTTTGTTCAGATGCAATAAGCTTTCCAACAGGTAGGCCCTCCCTACAATTTTCTCCATGTAACCACATTTTTTGTCCCATTAGGTTCTCCACAAAAATTTTTTTTTTTGAGTCCTCTGAATTTTTTTGTACGGAGAAACCAATAGTAGTTCCTTGTCCCATTTTTGATAGAATGTTGCTGATACGGCAACAATGGCATGTCATAAGTTATTTACAGTGCAATATCACATGTTTATAATACTGTACTAAATGCATTCAGGTTTTTTGCTTCCAACGTTCTGTGTAGCAAATTGGTTTGCCTCACCATATGACTTCTTCATCGGTTAGTTAACTGTTCAGTGCAGTTCACTTTCACTGCACACCAGAATTGATAGAAGGTATCTGAACACCTCTCAACTTAATCATTTTCTGACTTCTCTGTCCAGCCGTGTTGCTGCAAAAACATTATTAAAATAGCTTTTCTTCAAATAGAGAGGTACATTGTTTTGTCGATCACCCCGGTCACAAGAATCAAGAAATCTCCTCTAAATAGGAATTGTTCATTCTAGAGTTGGCCCAAAGATAATTTTTTAATCAAGAAGACATTCCTTGAACAGATTCATTTCAATCGCAAGCTGACTTAGGATGACGGGCAACTTACTTGACTTAAAACAGTAATTTGCAAATGTGAGACAACCCCAACCAAACCGATTCTGATTTATACATAACCCATCATCCGTGCCTCTGCTGTGAATCGACTTTCAAACGAATGCAGAAACACTTCATAGGCAACTTCGAAATGAAAGAACCAGAATTTCATCTGCGACATGGCCGAAAAGAAACTTACAAAAACAGTAAATTTCAAGAAATGCGGCGTGATAATGACTTGAAACGTGAACTGACCGTTCTCGTGGAAACATCCCTGCTCAGGATCGTGCATCAAGTGATTTGCTGTCCCAACGTCAGTCAAGAAAAATTTCTGATCACCTTCCAAATGCACTGAGATGTCTTCCCTCGGTGAGTCGTTTTCGTAGACCCGGTTCACGCACATCAAGGGTTTCATCTCGGAATCCCAATCTAATTATATTGAATTCAATCAACACATATAAAATCTGAACAGAAACGTAGGAGAGCGAACTTACGGTTAGAAATGTCATCCACTGATGTTTGATGCGTCACCCCTACGACTGGAAGAAATGGACACAATTAGACTTAAAAACTTCAATAAAAAAAAAAAGAAATGGGGCCAGAAAACTCACTGATTTCATCTGGCAGAGAATCTTTCAACGATTCCAATGATGGTAATACTGGGGTGAAGTAAAACGGATGCGGGTCGGATGACTGTCCTCCACATTTGATCGTAAGCTCGACCTCCACTTTTTTATTCAGATCAAGGTCTTTAAACGGCGGAACGATGCACAGCAAATGCAACTAGAAGAAAAAAAATACAAGCTCAATTCATAATTTAATAATACATTTTGCAAGAGGAAAAATGCATACCTGGTGGAGAAATTCTTTCTGAGGGGACACTTCCACTTCCCAAGAATCATCATCTTCAGGACCAGGAGTTTTAAATATAACTTTCGCCTCTTTGGAAAAATTCTTTCCCAGTATTATTAACTCAACGCCGCCTTCCATTGAGCAACTCGAAAGCGATTTCTTCAAGATTTCAGGCACGCCCGGTGGTTGAGCTGTAAGAATTGAAACTTAATTATTAGGGAAATTCACGAAGTTTACTCAATACTAATTTCGCGCACATTCGCCAAAATATAACACTTACTGCAACTAATGGGCTGAGAAACAGTCTGGAGGATTTCGCTAAATCCGCCACTGTGCTCCAGCTTCGCTCTAAAAACGAGTCTGCATTTGGTTGAACGCTTCTTTGTCGAAGTGCTCGCTTGGTCAGGAAAACGCTGTTCGACATCCACGTTCCTTTCTTTCAATATACCAACACAGTCGCAACTGAAAAGGAAAAATAAATAATTTTTGTAACGGACGTCGTCGCTTTTCTGTCAAGTGCGAGGTACTTACGAAACTGTCATTTCCTTGCTTGGTTCCATGGTCAGCTCCAATACAACGGTTCCTCCTATTTTGGTTTCTCCACACGGCGTAGAGTTCTTCCCAGCTACTCGACAAGCTTGATAGAACATGTGTGGCCCAACTTTTCCCTGATCTGTGCCGATAAAAACTTGAAGAGTGGTCGGCTTTGAATATCCACGAAGCTGAAAAATGAATTTAATAGCCGCTGAGTAAAATGAAAAACAATTCCTTTTTGGTAAATCTACCGCGCACGCAGACGCGATTGTAATCGCCGACGTGTTCTTGCACGTAAATGGAATTCACGAAAAAATCAGCAGATTTGTAGAATGCTTCACATTTCCCGGCGACTCTAAACATATCGCATATTTTCTGATACCGAACGGTCCAATATCCTTTAGTGATTTGAAGGTGAAGATGGTAGTTTCGGAACTACTGTACTATTAAAATACAGCGGAAGATTGAATTCCACTTCAGAACATCCTCTGTATGTGAAAATATCGGAAATTTAAAGAAAATTTTGTTTTCGGTATATCGCTCCCTACCTGCTGCAAGCTCTTTTCTTTAGGAATTGAAAGAGTAGAAAGTGCTCTCTCTTCTCAAATCTTCCAAGTACTCAGAATCTTATACAGAGAATTCGACTTAAGGACAATTTTAAACAAAAAAATCTGCCCCAACATCTGGACAGCGTTTTGAGATACAGACACTTCAACATGATTTCTAGGAAGAAACGGAAACATTTTTAGGAATCAAAAATTTGGTACCTCTTGAACAAATTGAGCTTTACAGATTCAGAAAAACTTAAAATAAATGTTAGTATAAATTCTCTCGAACTAGTCTAATTCATAGTCCAAAACGGGCTAATTCCATGCTTAGTTCTTAAGAGTTTTTCAATTACTGTACTGTATCTGCGCAGAGTACAACAAGACTTGCGCATGTTCCCTACTTTCTGGGCTCCTTTTCATGCCAAAAGGTCAGATTCTGTGCGATTATATTTTGCACAGTTATTTTCTGTATTTCCGAGTTGAGAAAAAAAGTTACACTCCAATTTTTTGGGAGAATCTTTCGTAATTTTAGATGAGCATATTGAAGTTAATGGGAGAA